AAACGGCACAAACACATTTATTTTACAACTTTAACAAACCCACAAATGCCATTTTACTAGTAATAATCTATAATAACATCCGTAAATTAGTAAAATAATCCTGGCGCTACTTATCGTCTGAAATGTATTTATCACAAACTGGAACCAACTGGAGATTCGTCAAAAGGATCATCGGATACATTTATTAAATAATACGCATTATAATTTATGCATTGTATATATTTCAGAAATTATACTCGACTTGGGGCTCATTGAATTTATTGCCAATTACATAATTCATATTTCCTTATACCTATCATTGTTTTGAAAAAATAAAATGTTAAGACAGAATAATGCATGTTTACAAATCAAACATACAAGTGTTTGTGACTGATGCATTGAAAACATTTACAGTATTTAGAAACCCAGTTGTCAGAGGTCATAAATTATGGATTTCAGAGTTCCTCGTGTGTGTGTGTGTTCCTCATGTGTGTGTTCCTCATGTGTGTGTTCCTCATGTGTGTGTTCCTCAGGTGTGTGTTCCTCAGGTGTTCCTCAGGTGTGTGTTCCTCAGGTGTGTGTTCCTCAGGGGTGTGTTCCTCAGGGGTGTGTTCCTCAGGGGTGTGTTCCTCAGGTGTGTGTTCCTCAGGTGTGTGTTCCTCAGGTGTGTGTTCCTCAGGTGTGTGTTCCTCAGGTGTGTGTTCCTCAGGTGGTCCTCAGGTGTGTGGTCCTCAGGTGTGTGTTCCTCAGGTGTTTCTCAGGTGGTCCTCAGGTGTGTGTTCCTCAGGTGGTCCTCAGGTGTGTGGTCCTCAGGTGTGTGTTCCTCAGGTGTGTGTTCCTCAGGTGTTTCTCAGGTGGTCCTCAGGTGTGTGTTCCTCAGGTGGTCCTCAGGTGTGTGTTCCTCAGGTGTGTGTTCCTCAGGTGTGTGTTCCTCAGGTGTGTGTTCCTCAGGTGTGTGTTCCTCAGGTGTTTCTCAGGTGGTCCTCAGGTGTGTGTTCCTCAGGTGTGTGTTCCTCAGGGGTGTGTTCCTCAGGTGTTTCTCAGGTGTGTGTTCCTCAGGTGTGTGTTCCTCAGGTGTGTGTTCCTCAGGTGTGTGTTCCTCAGGTGTGTGTTCCTCATGTGTTCCTCAGGTGTGTGTTCCTCATGTGTGTGTTCCTCAGGTGTGTGTTCCTCATGTGTGTGTTCCTCAGGTGTGTGTTCCTCAGGTGTGTGTTCCTCAGGTGTGTGTTCCTCAGGTGTGTGTTCCTCAGGTGTGTGTTCCTCAGGTGTTTCTCAGGTGGTCCTCAGGTGTGTGTTCCTCAGGGGTGTGTTCCTCAGGTGTGTGTTCCTCAGGTGTGTGTTCCTCAGGTGTGTGTTCCTCAGGTGTGTGTGTTCCTCAGGTGTGTGTGTTCCTCAGGTGTGTGTGTTCCTCAGGTGTGTGTGTTCCTCAGGTGTGTGTTCCTCATGTGTGTGTTCCTCAGGTGTGTGTTCCTCATGTGTGTGTTCCTCAGGTGTGTGTTCCTCAGGTGTGTGTTCCTCAGGTGTGTGTGTTCCTCATGTGTGTGTTCCTCAGGTGTGTGTTCCTCATGTGTGTGTTCCTCAGGTGTGTGTTCCTCAGGTGTGTGTTCCTCATGTGTGTGTTCCTCAGGTGTGTGTTCCTCAGGTGTGTGTTCCTCAGGTGTGTGTTCCTCAGGTGTGTGTTCCTCAGGTGTTTCTCAGGTGGTCCTCAGGTGTGTGTTCCTCAGGGGTGTGTTCCTCAGGTGTGTGTGTTCCTCAGGTGTGTGTGTTCCTCAGGTGTGTGTGTTCCTCAGGTGTGTGTGTTCCTCAGGTGTGTGTGTTCCTCAGGTGTGTGTGTTCCTCAGGTGTGTGTCTCAGGTGTTCTGACAGAGTCTGGCGTGTGCGGCGCTCGAACGCCAGCAGTTCCTCCTCAGGGAAAAGAGGACGGTCCTTCTTCAGATCCTGCAGGAACCGAGTCTTCATCTCGTTCAGCTCTTTAGCGAGAGCCTTCAGCACATCTGGAGACGCCTGCGCTTCTGTGGGACAGCAGAACCCAAACACATCACACACACTCTGAACACACACATCTCACACACTCTGAACACACACACTCTGAACACACACCTCACACACTCTGAAGAAACACACATCACACACACTCTGAAGAAACACACATCTCACACACTCTGAACAAACACACATCTCACACACTCTGAAGAAACACACATCTCACACACTCTGAAGAAACACACATCACACACACTCTGAACACACACATCTCACACACTCTGAACACACACACTCTGAACACACACCTCACACACTCTGAAGAAACACACATCTCACACACTCTGAAGAAACACACATCTCACACACTCTGAAGAAACACACATCACACACACTCTGAACACACACATCTCACACACTCTGAAGAAACACACATCACACACACTCTGAACACACACATCTCACACACTCTGAACAAACACACATCTCACACACTCTGAAGAAACACACATCTCACACACTCTGAAGAAACACACATCTCACACACTCTGAAGAAACACACATCACACACACTCTGAACAAGCACACATCACACACACTCTGAAGAAACACACATCACACACACTCTGAACACACACATCTCACACACTCTGAAGAAACACACATCACACACACTCTGAACACACACATCTCACACACTCTGAACAAACACACATCTCACACACTCTGAAGAAACACACATCTCACACACTCTGAAGAAACACACATCTCACACACTCTGAAGAAACACACATCTCACACACTCTGAAGAAACACACATCTCACACACTCTGAAGAAACACACATCTCACACACTCTGAAGAAACACACATCTCACACACTCTGAAGAAACACACATCTCACACACTCTGAAGAAACACACATCACACACACTCTGAACAAACACACATCACACACACTCTGAACAAGCACACATCACACACACTCTGAACAAACACACATCTCACACACTCTGAACACACACACTCTGAACACACACATCTCACACACTCTGAAGAAACACACATCACACACAATCTGAACAAACACACATCACACACACTCTGAACAAGCACACATCACACACACTCTGAACAAACACACATCTCACACACTCTGAACACACACACTCTGAACACACACATCTCACACACTCTGAAGAAACACACATCACACACACTCTGAACACACACACTCTGAACACACACATCTCACACACTCTGAAGAAACACACATCACACACACTCTGAAGAAACACACATCACACACACTCTGAACACACACATCTCACACACTCTGAAGAAACACACATCTCACACACTCTGAAGAAACACACATCACACACACTCTGAACAAACACACATCACACACACTCTGAACACACACATCTCACACACTCTGAAGAAACACACATCACACACACTCTGAAGAAACACACATCACACACACTCTGAACACACACATCTCACACACTCTGAAGAAACACACATCTCACACACTCTGAACAAACACACATCACACACACTCTGAACAAGCACACATCACACACACTCTGAACAAGCACACATCACACACACTCTGAACAAACACACATCACACACACTCTGAACAAACACACATCACACACACTCTGAACACACACATCTCACACACTCTGAACAAACACACATCTCACACACTCTGAACAAACACACATCTCACACACTCTGAAAAAACACATCACACACACTCTGAACAAACACACATCACACACACTCTGAACAAACACAGATCACACACACTCTGAACAAGCACACATCACACACACTCTGAACAAACACACATCTCACACACTCTGAAAAAACACATCACACACACTCTGAACAAACACACATCTCACACACTCTGAACAAACACACATCACACACACTCTGAACAAACACACATCACACACACTCTGAACAAACACACATCACACACACTCTGAACAAACACACATCTCACACACTCTGAACAAACACACATCACACACACTCTGAACAAACACACATCTCACACACTCTGAACAAACACACATCACACACACTCTGAACAAACACACATCTCACACACTCTGAACAAACACACATCACACACACTCTGAACAAACACACATCTCACACACTCTGAAAAAACACACATCTCACACACTCTGAACAAACACACATCTCACACACTCTGAACAAACACATCTCACACACTCTGAAGAAACACACATCTCACACACTCTGAACAAACACATCTCACACACTCTGAAGAAACACACATCACACACACTCTGAAGAAACACACATCACACACACTCTGAACAAGCACACATCACACACACTCTGAACAAACACACATCTCACACACTCTGAAAAAACACACATCACACACACTCTGAACAAACACACATCACACACACTCTGAACAAACACACATCACACACACTCTGAAGAAACACACATCACACACACTCTCTGAACAAACACACATCTCACACACTCTGAAGAAACACACATCTCACACACTCTGAAGAAACACACATCTCACACACTCTGAAGAAACACACATCACACACACTCTGAACAAACACACATCACACACACTCTGAACAAACACACATCTCACACACTCTGAAAAAACACACATCACACACACTCTGAAAAAACACACATCACACACACTCTGAAGAAACACACATCACACACACTCTGAAGAAACACACATCACACACACTCTCTGAACAAACACACATCTCACACACTCTGAACAAACACACATCTCACACACTCTGAACAAACACACATCACACACACTCTGAACAAACACACATCACACACACTCTGAACAAACACACATCACACACACTCTGAACAAACACACATCACACACACTCTGAAGAAACACACATCTCACACACTCTGAAGAAACACACATCTCACACACTCTGAAGAAACACACATCTCACACACTGAAGAAACACACATCTCACACAC